ATTGTTACTTAAGGCCATCTTGGGTTCACTCCCTACAACCCGCCCCTTGCCTCCTAGATAGCTTCATACTCTTTCCCAATGTTACACTATATGTACATTTGAAATCATAATGGCCGCGCCTGTACAAGACAGTAAAATGTATTTAGAATTTAGAATTTTCGCGTTCTCTCAAACAATTTAAGTTTGCTCTGTCACAGAGGTTTCCTATAACACACAGCCTCCCAGTTGCTTTTTGTGACATTTAAAAGATTTTTTGCAGTCATTACGTAACTGAGATACACTTAAAAAGGTGTGATATTTTGCCGGATACAGTAAACACCAGTATATACTGACCCTTTTTTTACTTCATCAGTCTGAAATGGGTCTTTTTTGAATGGGAGCTAATTTAGCTAGATTTCAGTCTGTAGAGCCTTAAGAGTTTCCTTTAGGCTACCCTGGTCCCAGAGGATTTTCTTGAAATTTGTCTTCACATGAAAGAGAACGAGCCCTTGAAACGGCGAAAAAGAGTCGTGAAATTCAAGGAAAACCCCTGGGACCTGAAAAGGAAAGAAAACTGAATATATCACGTCAGGCTAGTAGTCACAGTGTAAGAGCCTGGGCGAGATCACCGACTGAACCGTAAGGTTCTAGATATCTGAATATAGGCGTTTTGTATCAAATTGACGCTGTATTGGTTAAAAGCCACATGTTATATCGCCAAAACCAAGCTGAAACCAGATTTAAAAAGTTGTATGCGGGCAGGTGAAAAACTAGGTCCTTCCTAAATCTAAAACTCAGTATCTCTCCAGGAACCCTTCGATTGGTCTGGCCAGTGACCTTAAGGGGAATCAGTCCGTTCCATGTGATTATTCGGACCGCCTCCATCTTCCGAGTCACTCAACTTCACCTTAACCTCGTTCCCAGGCTTCTCCCTCAAGAGATGGCAGGGAAGGGGCTGGGGAGGACTCGGCCCAGTTTCCAAGGGGGAAGCCCTCGCTTTGGGGGCAAACGGTCATTGTTAGCTCTTCAATTTTCTTTTTCGAGGTAAGATCGGTCGAAAAAAGAAACACAACACTCAAGATCGCCCGTTTTTTGGGAGCAAATGCATAACAGTCACTGGTAGGGTCACAACAGGATCAAATGTTACAACAGGCGTCTATTAAAAACCTTCACATTCTGACATAATTCACTAGGTTTAGTATGAAATTAATGGATTGTATTCTTTTCATTGCAGAGTTTAAGGAAGACCAGCCAGCCCATCATAAAACCTTTGAAAGATTAATTTACTTGTTAATAGCCACGAGTGTTAAGACCAACGAACCCTCGCCCAATAAAAAAAAAATAATTTAACAAAGTCCTTGATGTACATGTGGTGTATTTTGATATGATTACGGTGTAAGAATTTTATGCGTGGCATCTTATGGGGAAATTGCATGGCCTACATATCATAATGTTAAATTGTGGCTACTGACGTACTAAGGAAGTTATATTTGATGGCGTAATGCAGCAACAACAGCCAAAAGAATGTTTTTGTGCGAAAGGTTTCATTACGATATATTTCCGAATTTTTTTCTCTATATATTCACCATTAATATTGAAAATCGCCATTTTACTAAGTTTACGGCAAGAATCTCCAAAATTTAAAACTGAGAAGAACTGAATGAAAAGAAACTAAATTGTGCGCTTTAGATAAGGACGAAAACACGACAGTAAAGAAATATAAACCAAGGTACTCGGCTGCACTAAAAGAAGAATCATCAACAAAAGCTGAACATTTTGTATCGATTATCCTGTGTATGAAATTTTAATATAGTAATTTAGAAGTTCCAAAAAGCATCTATAGCGAAAAATCTAAAAATTATGGTGTTTCTTAGTGATTTGGAAGATATTGTTGGTTCTCTTTTGTTTTGTGTTGTGGGTATGGTGACTTTTAAAGGTTTTGCAATAAGTCGACATTTGGTGAAAGCACGACGAGTACGCAACACTAAGCAACTATCAAAAATCACTGCAGTGCTCATGCATGACCAACACAGTTGTTCGGATATTTAAATGCTGGACTACGTCGTCCCTCGGTATTTTACAGCAGCTAAGAGAACTAGATCTAAAATAATACTCCCATCCCTCTCCTCCCTTCCTAAGAATGGTACTAAAAAGGTCCAAGGTTCATTTAATTTTACAGCCACCATTTACAGAAATTAAACGTCTGACAGATGCAGAGTTATGGACGTTACATGATCTGTTGAATAATTGAAAAGATAAAAATAAATTGCAGATATTACAATATAGGATGTATGGATGTAACCTACGTAACATACTCGACCAGTTTGCCTGCAAAAACGTCCCCAGTGATAACTATTGGCCTACTTGCGTCAATTCTTTGGTTACAAATGAATTAGTACTTTTAAAAAAAACTCACTGTACCAACAAAAGCAAAATTCATTTGGTTACAGTGATCAGGAAAAGGGACATATTTCCATTTACTGATTAAGTGAAATGAGTTGAATAAGTTACTCGTTATCAGAACAGTCGTTTTTATTCATTGAAAGTTTTAAATCCATTCCGGGGCAGTAAGCGTTTGGTATTGAAAACAATCTGAACAGCATTAATTTACACTTACTGGTTTTAATTAAAGGCATTTCTACAAAACTGCGATATTTTCAAATAATTTCAGTCGTTCTAAATTTTACGTTGATTGAAAAGGAAAAAAAAAGGACAAAAATCACTTTTGAATCTAAACTCTCAAGGTAACTTACTGAGAAAAGAATTTTTATTCTTGGTTATAATGCACGATCAAAAAATATTACAATTTTTGCCTTGAGCAAAAATATAAATCAAAACATAGTGTCAGCCACAAGCGTATTTTCAACTGGAGGAAAGGAAATTTGAACTAGGGTATTAAACACTCAGTGTCAAATCTGCCATTTCCCCTGAAGACAGAGCAAGCATCAATTAAGGAAAGGACGAAAATGTAAAGAAAAGAAAACAGACAATGAAAGGAGAAAAAGCTAAAGCAGGAATAGTTATGGCTTTAAACCAATCCGCTTTTGAAACCGTTTTATTCTTGAGAACGTAGAGAATCTGTTACTACAAAAGATGATAAAAACATTTAGATAAGCTGGACAAATAATTAAAGGAGAGTGACTTGTGAAGGAAAAGTAAAAAGTCGTCATTAAAAACTCAAATTAAGACCTATTACAAAATTATTTTCATAGCATCCGGTATTGAAAACCTTCTTATCCGATCTTACATTATACATGTTTAAATTAACAGGAACATAAAAAGTTTAAAAAAAGCTTCCGAAAACTATGGAGAAAATGCCAGTTAGCGCAATTTTGGCCAAGCCTTTTGCCTTTTTCTTTTGAAACCTTTGTAAGCAGACGTATGTCCTTTTTTTAGTCGAACAGATAAATATCTTACTCATGGATTTATTTTATTGCATAAAAAGGCGGAGAACTAATTGTGACAAGGCATGAAAAAGACGCTAGTTGCTAATGAGGTGGTAGCGGATATGAACATTACCTTACTAATTGTGAGTGGTGGGAAAACATTTGTTCCGTTCAATGCGAGGGAAGAACAATTTTTAATGATGATAACTGAAAGGGTGATTAAGAAAAATAATTGAAATGTTGATGGTGACAATGGTTAAGAAATTTAGCTATAAAAGATTTGTTGTTTCCATGACTGAATTCAGTCATCATATATCAGAACCAGTGGCCGAGCGCTGGCTCAGAGGCTCTTGTGAGTGCGAAGCCTTGTTAAGGAAAAAGAAACATTTTGGGGGTAGGAAGTACATAAAGCAAGTTGATCGTAATTATTAGATTTAAACTTGAACGAAAGAGGCAGACAAAGCGATATAATTTTGACTTTTAAGTTATATGACAGATTACTATTGTTAGGTTCTAGGCATTTTGTGATTGTTTTAAAAACACTCAGTTTCTTTCTTTTCTTTGAAGCATCAAACAAGAATGCCTTATTGTTAATATCCCCGTAGCTTTGATATGACTTTATTTTAGGAAATTTTATCAGAAGTTAACTTGCAAACAAGGTCAGTTTTAATGCGAGTTTCACTGTCAAAGCTTAATAAAGAGCCTAAAGTGTATGTCTCTTGAACGAAAAATACGAAAAAAAAGCGAGATATGAGACAAAGAAGGAAGGGACCAAACTCGCTAATCATGTAATCATGCATGTTATGCACATAGATTAGCAAAATATTTAAAGTAGGGCTCTGAATTACAATCACTGAAAGAAACGAACAAAAAGAACACGATAGAAGATAGTGAATTTTTTCCTTATCACTTCCTTATCACTAAACTGATATTGATTGTTTCCCTTTTTTTAAGATTATCTCGTTCTCTTTTGTAGGGAAAAACAATTAGATGATTGTATTATTATTTCTATGCTTTCTTCGCCTTTTGTAAACAGGAGTCGGAGTAAAATTTTGCCAAAATTTTGTTTGATCGGCGTCTCTGACTTCTAGATGCAGGAGTGAGCTTCAAACGTCAGCTTTTTCACTTGAACCTTTGTTACGTTGGTTAGTAAAGGACTATATCGATACTGAAAGTTGATAAACCAATTTTAAACCTTCATGCAATGATTTATCAAATCGAAATGATTTTCGAATCTTAGTGCAGAAAAAAAAGTATCGTATTAAATAACTTTGCATTTACTAAACAATTTCACATACATAAAGAAGATCAAAAACTAGCCCGATCTCGTGTCTTAAGCATTTCTTACCATTGCAAAGGTGAAATCTTGCCGGGAAATATTCAACTGAATGACCTTTTTTACCATGTTCTTTGTATGAAATCTTATCTTATCAAATCGCAGAGACGTACCTCTTATAAAGGGATACATTTTTTTCAGTTGGGGTCACCACCACCTAATAAGGCCAAAACTCAGTTTGAGACTTTCAGTGTTTTACTATTTTGCAATCATATTAAATTGAATTTTATTATTTTTACCTCATCTTGTAACGTTTTTAAGGGCTTAGACCGTAAATTTCTTTTTTTTACAGGTTCAAGATGTTTCTTAGGATTTTTCTCTTCTTTTTTCTCATGGTCTTAACAAGCTGCTCAGAAACAAAGAAAGACACTCAGGATTCTCCTCCAGGTTTATTACAAGCGCTAAGATCAAAATATTTGGGTCATATTAGAGGAAAAAGAACGGTAAGTTAAGTCAAACTAAACATAAATTTCTCGCCTTTGATTAGCGACTACTGTTAATGGCTGATAATCGGGAATGGAGATTATTTCCAGAAATGATCGAGGCTGATTTGAACGTAATTTAACGGACAAAAAGGAGCCTTTAATGCAACCACTGTTGTTGATTTAATGGCTCTGTATTGCATCTGTGAGCCACTGATAGGCTTCTCTTCGCAGTTGCTCAAATTGCAGGCATAACTGAGAAGATGATTTCTTCATTTAGTTTAATTTTACATCTGTTCTTCATATACATAAAATTAGTTACTTCAAATATTACACATTAAAGAAACACAATACAGATTTTAAGATTTTTCTCTTGTACAATTAAGAAACTATCTGCGGTTTTCACTGCATTCAAAGACATTAAAAATTAAAATTCTTTCGTTTTATGATACTGAGATCTGATGAACGATTACAGCACATCTATGTTTTACACTTTACAATGTCGTTGTGGCATGGTGAAAAAGCACGTATAATTACAAATCTCCTCTCAATTTTTGAGTAAGCTTTCTACACAAGTTCAGTTTAGAACACTGAGTAATAGTAATATGTGCTTAATATGATTACAGGACTCAGCAGACTCTGATCCACCCGCATTAAAGGAGGCTTTGGGCAATGCTTATTTTGGACATATTCGCGGAAAACGAACGGTATGATGTAAAACAAAACGCTCATAACCCACAACCCGAGAACATTTATAACTTACACTCAATATTCAGTTTCATAGTGAAAATTGAATACTGATCAATCAATTTAGCCGGTCTCTTTGAGACGATGAGCTTCTCTGGAATTTGCTTTCAATAAAGACTTTCTTTCCTACCGTCCGGCTCAATGCGTTCCTGGACGATTTGACGATCGCAATCGCCCGGACAGAACTGAAGTTGATATACAGGCCGATTTGCGTCAGTATAATCACAAAACTCGAGGTAATGGAGACCATTTAGACGATTACAAGAAACTCTGGTTCTATATAACGAGAAAATAACAAAACAGTCACCAATTGCAACACTTTTCTGCTTAACTGATACTACGAAATTTTGACATCTAGGGAAGGTAAAAATGTATATCGAACTGTTGATTGCTCAAGTACTCTCAGTAATCCATATTAAACCGTTTCATTTTCCAGGATGCAGAAGATTATCCGCCATTAGGAGAAGCACTAAACACAGCTTATTTGGGACACATCAGAGGAAAAAGAACGGTAAGAAGACCGGCCCGCTTAGGGCAATGTTAAATTATATTTTCTGAATAGCATTTCTTTCGATTAGTCGTTCAGTTTTATATTTTTTCCTCTATTTGATAAAAGTCTGAAATCTGTCCCTTATTCTTATCACCAATTTTGATTTTAGGTATTTTTTTTANGGACTCAGCAGACTCTGATCCACCCGCATTAAAGGAGGCTTTGGGCAATGCTTATTTTGGACATATTCGCGGAAAACGAACGGTATGATGTAAAACAAAACGCTCATAACCCACAACCCGAGAACATTTATAACTTACACTCAATATTCAGTTTCATAGTGAAAATTGAATACTGATCAATCAATTTAGCCGGTCTCTTTGAGACGATGAGCTTCTCTGGAATTTGCTTTCAATAAAGACTTTCTTTCCTACCGTCCGGCTCAATGCGTTCCTGGACGATTTGACGATCGCAATCGCCCGGACAGAACTGAAGTTGATATACAGGCCGATTTGCGTCAGTATAATCACAAAACTCGAGGTAATGGAGACCATTTAGACGATTACAAGAAACTCTGGTTCTATATAACGAGAAAATAACAAAACAGTCACCAATTGCAACACTTTTCTGCTTAACTGATACTACGAAATTTTGACATCTAGGGAAGGTAAAAATGTATATCGAACTGTTGATTGCTCAAGTACTCTCAGTAATCCATATTAAACCGTTTCATTTTCCAGGATGCAGAAGATTATCCGCCATTAGGAGAAGCACTAAACACAGCTTATTTGGGACACATCAGAGGAAAAAGAACGGTAAGAAGACCGGCCCGCTTAGGGCAATGTTAAATTATATTTTCTGAATAGCATTTCTTTCGATTAGTCGTTCAGTTTTATATTTTTTCCTCTATTTGATAAAAGTCTGAAATCTGTCCCTTATTCTTATCACCAATTTTGATTTTAGGTATTTTTTTTACTTACAGGGAGTGTCTACCAGAAAAATTCCGACCTCAACAAATTAAGCTAAATGCACATAAATATCAATTACATATACTGCATGAACACCAACACTTAGTAACTTCCTACAAACGTACTGCTTCAAAGCAGTTCTGACCTTACTTTGGCTGCAGAGTGTGTCGTGGAGTATCCCACTAAATCATGCAGGGGGAGGGGGATACCTGTGATATGTCAAAAGTATGTCACGAAAGCTTTTTCCCTTTCGATTGGAAGGAAGGGATAAAAAACGAAGAGAATTTAAACAAGATTCCTCTCTTACAGCTGAAAGGTTGGGGTTTTAATCCTGCACTTCGTGAAGCTTTCAATAAACTACAGTTTTATGGCCCGCACCTTCGGGGAAAAAGGACGGTAAGAGCCGATCGGATTTGAAACGATCATCCTCCAGGAACCTTTCAGAGGATCGTTTGTTTAGCTACTAACTTACTACATCATGCACATCACCCTAATTAAGATGTACTAGATTCCACACTGTGCGCGGAATCCGGATTCCAGGGAATTTGGATTCCGGATTCCAATCGCTTAAGGGATTTCGGATGCCTCGAGATGAATTCCAGATTAAAAAGCCTGGGATTCCGATTTCACAGGAAGAAATTTTCTCGGACCCCGGCATCCGGAACACCTTACATTAGGCGACACAAACTAGGAGTGAGAATAGTTGATCTTTTCAATTATGATGTCTGGAGCTGGGACCGTTTTTATCCAACCTTTTGCAGGGTGGCTGGGAATCTAACAAAGATTTATTAGAGGTGTTAAACAATGCATACTCAGGCCACATTCGTGGAAAGCGACAACAGGTATAGATACTAGAAATACGTATCAGGTATAGATATCAGATTGTAACATGTCGCATTATCTTTAGGAATAAATCTACCGGAGGGTCAAAGTACAAGCCACTCATCAGTGCTCGTTCAATGTTTTACAATAAACGAATATACGGAGGCTGAACATTTTTAAATTACTAATGCGTTATTGAATCAGTGCCTTATTGAAAAGAATAACAATTATTATTTTTTGTAATTTCAAATCATTTATCTTCTTCTTTGCAGGATACATCGAAAAATTCACAATGAAGAAAACGTCGAACAAAAAAATTAAACCCATGACAGCAGAAAAAAAATACAGTGGACCTAAAACCAGCTTGATGATATCGAAAAAATACTCCTTGGAAAAGATACAGAATGAAAGAATAATTGATTTTTGTTCATGAAAATCGAGCCGTTTCCAAAACACTGCTCATTAGGAAGAAAGACGTGTCAAGAAGGCATGAAATTAAAACTTCAGAATTATCAATTAAAGAATCAAATATTCATGTAATAAAGCCTCATGAAGCAAAACTGATGTTTCTTTTTTTTATTATTATTGTTATTGTTTTGTTTCCCTGATAACGAAACAAAACAATGGAGCTTGACTTGAGGGTGAATTTCAGCTGTTTAAAAGCCTTCCCTATTTTCAATGTTCTTGAAACTTGCAGGGAATATTTTTTGACAATTGATCTCGGGATTGTCGAATTTATAAAAAAATTTATCGAGGGGTTTTTGGAAAAATGCGAAATTTTTAGGCATGGACCAAATTACCTCCAAAAACTGTATCAAAAGCAGCTGAATGCAAGTTAATAAAATTCTTCTTACTCGCGATCGCCCAGAGCAATTCCCCCCCTTTTTTGTATGCAGTTTTCGATGGGATCAAACCACTATGAGATAAAGCCCCGTTCCCAAAGCTTATCATTTTCTTAAAATATTAGCCAATTGTGTAGGTAACATGCTATTTCACTGTTTTTATTATTCTTAAACCTACATTTCAAAATATTTCGAAAACACTCTCATAGAATTTGTTCAAACTATGCCATAATGGAGGCAATTATAGCAGGTACCTACTCCCTAAAGCGATTTCTTCCAAAAAACTCCTGGAACAGCGAAACACAAAGATAAATGACAAACGTAATGGCATCGTTACGTTGCCATGGCGACTCCGATTGCAATAAAACCCAGATCATAAAAAATTTTCATCTTTATGTAATACAGTTGTGGTAACCTTTTTTCCATATCTTTACTCATGCCGACGTAGTTAATGCTCAAAGTTGTGAGGTATCAACCCCAAAAA